CTGTTGATATCTAAAGTTCGGGTAATACTCTAACTAAGTATTGGACTGTTGATATCTAAAGTTCGGGTAATACTCTAACCAAGTATTGGACTGTTGATATCTAAAGTTCGGGTAATACTCTAACCAAACAAATTGGCTGTTGATATCTAGGGTAATATTCTAATAGAATATTTGGTTGTGGATATCCAAAGTTACGGCAAATTCCAACCAAATAGAGAAATGCATTCTCATATAGATTTATAGTCATGCATACTTTTTTAATGGTCATCTAAGGTATTCATTGTAAAAATTATCAGAATTTCCCTTAGTGTGTTATTGTACAAAAATGTGGACTTTGGAATTAAAAATAAGGGCAATGAATACCACACTGATCTAGGGTTCAAAGACACCATATCCTCAGTTGATATTGTCTTTCATACAAATATGTCCCAGTCATGTTTGTACAATGTTTATTTATTACAACCACATTCTTAATCCAGAGATACGCAACAGGATAAGAACCGGAGCGAAGTCCAACTCACTGATCCGAGGAGAACAGGTAAAATAACAACTATTTATATTTTTCGTTTTATTTCCTTTTTCAAAAGTTCACTGGACTTTGTACCTTTAATAATCTAGGTCACCGTGTTTTAAATGATTCCAAAGTTCGGGTAAGGAAATATCTGTTGTTTCCTGCCACCCTGTTTAAAGTCCTACCCACTCAGCTGTAAGTAATATATACCTGACATGGTTTAGTTATGCTTGTTAAAGTGTGTCAGTCATCTGTCGCCACTGTAACATAAATCCTCTGAACTAAATACTTTTTATTAAATCACATATTCTGAAAATATCAGTTACATTACAATTGCTTTAGCAATTGTACCAACAGCAAGTTGTAGTATACAGTCAATCCTTGATATACTACCACCATCTTTCCTGATAAAACGTTGAGGAATTAGGCGATTAAATGAGGGAAACGCGCAAAAGAGTTCTTAAGAAAACAGCAAATTAGTATCAGCGTGTTTACTAATTGATGAAACAAAATAATAATTTCAGTAGTATACAGTCAATCCTTGATATACTACCACCATCTTTCCTGATGAAACGTTGAGGAATTTGGCGATTAAATGAGGGAAACGCGCAAACGAGTTCTTAAGAAAACAGCAAATTAGTATCAGCGTGTTTACTAATTGATGAAACAAAATAATAATTTCAGTAGTATACAGTCAATCCTTGATATACTATATACCACCATCTCTTTCCTGATAAAACGTTGAGGAATTTGGCGATTAAATGAGGGAAACGCGTAAACGAGTTCTTAAGAAAAAGAGAAAAGGTTTTTATTTTAGATATGTTTGCGGTAAGCGATGTGGCAAATCACAAAAAAAGGAGCATTATATCGAAGTTTTACTGTATACTTACCTCAGAAACAAAACAATAGTGTTGGTATGTTTTTACTTTAGACTTACCTCAGAAACAAAACAATCGTGTTGGTATGGTTGTTCCTTACTGGTAGTATGTCACACTAGTGCATTGTACTTTTAAGGTTGTTCAACGCTAATAAATGTGTTATCATACACCAGAAACTGAATTTTGAGTTTAGAAGAGCATGGCATATATATCTATCGATATTTACTAACGTTCGAAATTGTCTTTTCTTAATAATCGTCAGATTCGTTTTATCACACAAGTGAGCGTTTAAAAGGGTGTTTGGCAAAGACAACTTCCCAAAAATGGTTATTTATATCTCTTTGTAACAAAGAGCCGAGTACCTGTCAAACATTTAGTTGACACGTGATCAGAGATTAGCTGACAAACCATTTCACACACTTGGTTAGTTTGCTACTAAAACAGGGCCTTGACGAAACCGATACCCAGCAGCTGGTCACACACACGTTTTGTTTATATTTATATACCAGGTACTCACTACGGCTCCACACATTGACGGCACGAGACCAGGTGAGATCAGCTGTTTACACTGACGTTAGCTATAGACAGTGAGACACTAGATATAGGGAAGCAGTAAGTAATCTTTAATATTAATGAATAATTCTTAAGGATATGTTTACTTTGGTGAATTATTTGATGAATTTAATTTACAAAACAAATATCGAAATACACAAAAACCTATTTTTTACACAATTTTTCATTGACTTTTGTATCAGGCTGCTACAACATGCGTATTTACCTTCTAACTGACATCCTGTACATGTACGAATAATAAACTGTATTTTAATAAAAAATATAAGAAAAAATGTCAATATTTTATGTAATTAAGAATAAAAACTAGTAAATCGTCGGCTGGAAACCTCTGTTTTCGGTTGTTTCCTTCCTGTTTAATCATATTAATTTTCTATGCTTTGTCCGCCAGGGGCCTTTTTATTAGTGTTTTATTCAAGGAGAAAACAATTAGAAAATCCAATTTGAAGTGTTATGCAGGTATGTTTGAAGAAAACTAAAGAAGGTATCAAGTTATAAACCCATATTTCCTTAGTCATTGTTAAAAACCGTGTGATGTATACTGAGGAGAGGGTGTTTATTAGTTCACTAATTGGTAATCTCTCCAAAACCACGCCCTAGCACTAATTCTGTAATACACGGGAAGCATATTCTAGCTCTTGTGAATTGTTATAGACATTGTATTCGGCTTAAATATACATGTACAATATTTATAACAGAAAATGATATCAACGGACAGGTATATCAACCGATGTATCTGAAAGTTACAGTTATTGAATTCTAACATTTCTACTGCTAATATTATATTTCTTTCTGTTATCTTACTTAACCTTTCTAAAACGTTTTCAGCTAGCTAAATTCTGTGAAAATATCGGTAAAATTGTATAATTCATCATTTGCAACTGAATAATCCTGACTATTCATTACATTTATACCGCCACAGTCGATATAAAATCTAGCTATGAGATCCCTACAAGCAGCTTACTACGTATTTTAAAATACTCTATTAAGAGACTATCTCAGTTAAGGGGCACTTTTGAGCCATCCCTTAGATAATCTCTCAATGCAGATTTGATATGTATAGCTCACTACTTCAATACCACGTGGTATGTTAAAATATGGTTTAGATTAAATTGCTGTTATAGCACCATGATCGATTGCTCCCAAACTACCATGGTTACAACCAATAACAGTTAAGTCCATACATAGTTGCACTGTAGCTCGCTTCGTGGTTCATGGTGGTCGACGTCTTTGTAAGCATAGCCCATTGCTTCTGTTGACGCTTCTTCATAGTCATTCACTTATTTACAGGTTGCGCACAGGACGCGTATACAACTATGTATTATATGTAAGTAGCACGATGGTAAAAACGTGATTGGATGTTTGACCCAGTGCGTATTGAGTCTAGATTTTAAAACATTTAAAGTTGGGGAATCTACCACAATTGTAGGGAGTTGATTCCAAATATTTACAATTCTATTTTTAAAAGCATGTCACCTAAATAAATGTTGGTCTTATACCGATATTTTTCCAGTTTTTTTCGAGTTCCCCCTCGTATTGAGGTTGTCGAAAGTAGGGATGATTTGTGGGTTAGTTATATCTATGGTGTTTATCAGCTTATAGTTTTCTACCATATCAGCTCTTAGTGTTCTATATTCAAGTGATGTTAGCCCTAGACGACGAATACGTTCAGGGTACGAGAGATCTTTTAGGGATATATATCATGTACGACAACTTCAATGAGAATGTTTATTTATCTAGGTCGTTGTTGCAGGACATATCCCAGCGCATCGAAATGTCATTCACGACCTTCTACAAGCACCATGAAGAACGCCTCGGACGTGTGTTCGAGATATACGGACGTCTGGTCAGTCGGTATCCAATGGTTATCATCGCCGTCTGTCTGTCCATAAACTGTTTACTGTTCGGGATAGGTATCCTGTATCTGGAGTCGGAGACCGACACGGAAGTTCTGTATACACCCCGAGGGGCCCGGGTCTACCACGACAAAGCGCGGCTCGATAAACTCTTCAAGGACAAGTCAGGGTCAAATTTTTACCCTCATGGAATTGTCGGACTCAACAAGGAATGTCACGTGATAGTACAGACCAAAGACGGGTCCAATATTTTGACACCTTCATATATGGAAGAAGTAAAGCGTGTTGACACATTTGTGAGAAATATCAGTCAACTTAAGAATACAACAACGTCTACCTTCTCCGATGTATGCGCTTTGAGGAACGGCGCATGCGTGGCATCTGGAGATTTCCTCTTCACGGCAAAGTTTAACAAGCACATTCTGGCAGAGAATGTTTCATTTCCAATATTTTCCAGAAAAGTCATAAGTACAACTTTTGGAAATGTCAAATCTGCTAACGGAACTCTCGATTTTTCCTCTATGATATTCCTGCGTTACTACTTACGACAAGACACAACAGAAGCATCGGTGAGATCAGCGCATTGGGAAAGGGCTTTTATAGACGTCATGACGTCATTTGACTCTGCGACAGTTTCAATTGCCTATACGGCCTCACTTTCTAAAGACGAAGAACTAAGCAAAAATATCAGTGGCGACTTGAAGTTCTTTGCTCTCACAATTCTGATTATGTTGGTATACGCGAGTTGTGCGACCTCTGGTGGAAACTGTGTGTCGGAGAGACAGAATCTTGGTCGTGCAAGTGTTTTAGCCACTTGCCTTGCTATCGCATCCTCGCTTGGGCTGCTTAGTGCCCTAGGAGTGAAGTACGTGGAGATCGCCGGAATTATGCCTTTCCTCGTCCTAGGTACGAGTATATTATCGACAAAATGCACTTATTAGGTTTTAGTATTTTTAACGATAAAGTTATCCGAAATGATCAAAATATTATTGAGGTTACAGTTTTCTTTCTGTTATTTTCTTTAATATTTTCGGTTATCGTCAACTGTTTTCTTCAATATGATTTTCAGTATGGACGACATTTTTGCACCATGATGCCAAAGTGTGTCCTTGATGACGTGTTTATCCTGATGATATCCTGTTGTTTATATAGAATTTGTCTGGACACGTTTATATTATGTTTTTGTGTAGGTATCGGTCTGGATGACATGTTAATCCTGATGTCCTGTTGTTTATATAGGTATCGGTCTGGATGACATGTTTATCCTGATGTCCTGTCTGGCTGATGCAGAAGTGAAAGGATCTATTGAAGAGCGAATCATGCACACAATGAGAACAGGGGGCGTGGCCATCACCATAACGTCCGTCACAGACTTTTTGGCGTTTGCTATAGGAGCGACTTCAGTATTCCTTGGAGTGCAGAACTTCTGCCTCTTTACAGGTGGGTTTGGTCATTTCTTGTTTCATTCTACTAGAGAGTGCAAAAATATCACAAACATACATAACATAAACAGCCCCATATATGACTAACAGCAGAGAAGGTAATGTATGTCCGCATCGAAAAAGTTGCGTTATTTCTGCATGTTATTGAAGATGCGTTATTGTTTTGCATGTTAATGCAGTTTGTTATTGGGATTCATAATTGTAGTGCCGTAGTTCTTTGTAGATTTAACAATATCAATGTTATGTTAACATTATGTTGTTTATCACAGGAACGGCTATCATCTTCTGCTACCTGAACCAGCTTGCCTTCTTCATGCCATGCATGGTGATTAACGAGAGACGTGTGACCGCTGGGAGACACTGCGGCACATGCCTTAGGACCAAATCCCGCCAGGAACTCGTCGCGGACGGCCACTCCAAGTGTTTTGCGTTGTGTTGCGGCGGAGAAGCCCCACGCAAGAGATCCGACAATGAAGGGCCTTTGGAGTCGCTCCCCAAACTTGTCTTGCAAAAAGCGTTGACGAATGTTGTGTTCAAAGTCTGTACCATTATCGTGTTCATCGGGTATTTATCGGCGGCTGTATATGGGTGTGTAAATCTGAAGGAAGGTTTACTGCTCAGCAACATTGTTGACAAAAGCTCGTATTACCACACATATGCCAAACTGATAGAAGATGACTTTTCCGTTGAGATCCCTGTCGCGTTTACCTTTACCTCTCCACAGAGTTACCATGATCCTACTTTGCAGCAGAAAATCACTGACATGCTGGCAACAGCTAGACGGGATCGACTCGTGAACTCTGACATCGAGATTAACTGGCTGAGTGACTACAGAGCATCTCCCCTATACCAAGGCACTAACGAGTCAGAGTTCGTATCTGGTCTCAAACAGTTCTTATCCGTACGTCCAGACCACGCGAACGACGTCATACTTGACGACACCGGGAATAAAATCAAAGCATCAAGATTGTACGTAATATCTAATGACGTCACATCGACAACAGACCAGGGAGAAATGATGACCAACGTTCGACGTATTGCTGATAATTTCGAAATTCCATTAATGGCGTACAGTTATTGGTTTTTTGACTTTGAACAATTTGCCGCCATATTGCCGAATACGTTGAAAACCATGGGTATAGCTATCGTTGTGATCTGCGTGATGACGATTTTGTTTATGCCTCATCCGTTCCTGATCGCTTGTGTGACCGTCACCATGACGACGATTCTACTGGGCGTGTGCGGGTTTATGTATTACTGGGACATGACATTGAGCACGGTCACCATGGTCGAACTAATCATGTGTATCGGCTTCTCTGTCGACTCGAGTGCGCACATGTGTCACGCCTTCATCACAGTAGAGGGAAACACACGTGCTGCACGTGTACATGCAGCTCTGGAGCGGGCGGGTGGTCCTGTCTTGAATGCGGCACTCTCATCAATCATTGGAGTCACACTATTGATATTTTCTTCCTCTTACATATTCAGAACATTTTTCAAAATGATGATACTTGTGTTCCTGTTTGGACTGGCGCACGCAATCTTCTTATTGCCTATAATATTTTCTAAATTCGGACCAATCAGCGTTCAGGATAATAAAGAAGTGCCGGAGTCGTCTGGTCAACTCTTGACAACTGAACAGAAAGTTGTCCCCAAAATTTGAACAAACTGTGAAAAAAGACAACATATCATGTATATATATATATAAGAATATGCTGACTTTCACTAAAAATATGTTTTACCATGTATCTGTCGATTCGGAATATTATCTTAGGGTATATTATACTATTTCGAGAGTTACAATTCCTACTATATTGATAGCTATTTCGGGGTTGTGCATTATTTTCTGTTTACGATTTTTATATTGTAATCTACCATTTTGAATGTGTATATACAATGTTAATGTCTACTAGTTCAAGACATCCTTTTCAAGTTATCAGGATACACAGTATGCAGTGGCGGACCCAGGGGTGTTGCCCTAGTTGCCCGGGCAACACCCTTTTTTCTGTGTCCAAAAATGATCTCGACTTAGGTTTTTGAGATTTTCCTCTTTTTCATATGGGATTTTCTTCTAATATCAACCATCCCGTGAACTATGCTTTTCTATGGCAAGTACAAATAATGTATGAATATCTATATATACCTAACGGTGCAGTTGCCCAAACAAGGAGTCCATTACTTATACTCTAAACAATAGAGGATTAATCCTCTTTTGTTTATATATTGGTAGGGTCTCCAGTCAGGTCAGTGGTGAAGGCTCCATATTATCGTATTCGTCCTTCTGTGTTTAAATTAATAGAGCTACTGTCTAGCAAAAATTTTAAACTTATTAGAAATTTAAGTAAGTACTTGATTCAGGCAACTGTTAAGATAAGTCGTATATTATGAAATATAAGCTGTATCAAATTCTTGCTATAAACGTTTTGTTACTGTGTAATGCGATTGAGATCTATGTCTTTTATTTCACAATAAGTTATAATCTCATTTCATTATATAATATATAGTACTCGTTCTACCTTCATGTTGAGGTTGTATGATTGACTTTGAAGTTTTGTTATTTCCTAGAAATTTGGTTAGATTAAGGCTTTATTTGTATTATTTCCTAAACGACTAAATTATGCAACTAAATTATGTTTCATAAGAGTCCGCTAAGTTACCTTAGGAAAACCTTAAAGTTTTCCCAAACTTATGCCAATTTCATAATTTGTAAATATTATGTATGGAATTGAATCTATTGCATATGTTCTCCGCCATTGTACAAGATGATTGTAAAGTAGTTATCTATATATGTATATTTCTGTACGCCTATTGAATTGAAAATTGAATTGAAAATTGAATTGAAGGCTCAACGGACTTTCTACCTAATCGTATTGTTCTAATGTCACGGTGTGGTGATCCCCTGTCCGTTGAGAGAGGATAAACCATCTGTTGGAATTAGGTACAGGTAAATTGTTAATTCAAAGGTAGAGTCCATTTCATGATAGATAAACCTGTATTTTCACCTGTGGTTTCATGTACACATGATCACCAGGAGTGATTTATTATACCTATTAAAAAATGTAAATTTCAAAACTTTCAAAGACAATAAAGCATCCACCTTAGCATCACGTTATCAGCTGAATAATAACCAATGTTTAAAAGCATGAAAGCCTGGCATGTAATATATATATCCTTTTCAACAGGTGTTGTCCTTGTACAATTCATGCATACAAATTCACAATAAAAGACAAACAGTCAAATCATAATTCATATTTATAACAAAATAAATCAATATTTAATTGCCAAAATGCTCGCCTAAACATTGAACATGCACATGAAAGGCATAACATAAACATCAACATTTTAACCAAAAACCTACATTTTTACCATTGTTTCAGAGAATTTGTTTCAAGTTACAAGTTTTTTTATTTCCGAATGCAAATCTGCATATAGGTTAATTGATACCGATAAATTCTAGCTTTCTACGCTTGGCAGTGCTTGAACAAGTTTAGTATTACTTTTTCAGAAAAAAAAATTCGCCTCGCTCTGCCCGGCAGGGAAATTATAATGGTCACAATATCAGAAATAATGAAGTTCTATATACTGTTTGGTGCCAGTAAGTAGTATACAATACATGTACATGTTTATTAAGGTTTTTTTAGTCTTTTTCTGAGTTCAAAATTTTGGGCAACACCCAAAATTAATTCCTGGGACCCAACCAAGCTACAGTACCGTAAAACAAAACACGTCGGTAACGGTTTATATACAGCTACATTGGAGGGAATGCATACTTCTGGTGATGACATTCAAATCTTCCAATATTAACGATCCCCATGCTCATTCATTCTTCTATTTCCTCTTTATCAGAACTATAGCAACTTATGTTTTCAACGAAAAATGTACGAAATAACGTGACTCAATTTAAAGATTGAAATGTTTGGTGAAGCAGCTCTAATAGAGATGAAGAATCAAAGGGAGGCAACTCGCATGTAATTTAAAGGATATTTATTTAATGCCGTTTGATCTGGAAGTCATTATTACAATGTATATAAAAAATAAAGTCCTACACAGTTATAGCAAAGTTTAATTACTATGTAGCAGGCCAAGGACATTTACAGTGTAGCATGGTTTTCAATTCTTAAAAACTGTTTTTTATGAAAACAGTTAACATTTCTGTCAAGATTTAATTTCATACATATAATTTAGATAGAGATAATTAAAGTGAGTTACAGATATCTCTTTTTCAAAGTAGTATGATATAAATTGAAATGAAAAAGAAACATCTGTAATGGCAATTAAGATATCTGAAAGAAGCAAATGCATATCTTTATGTATTAAAGATATCTTTGAGAAAAGGCGACAGAGACTTCGAAATTAGCAATGCTTTCATAATGCATTGTTACCACGCTTCCATCATAGTAAACATTTTCATGTGTGTTCCTGATGAACATTTTCTATACACGTATATTTACCTATGTTCCCACTATTGGAAACTTCGGATCCAGATTGCAGGGGGATGAGCAGTGTATTACAACATGTAATTTTCTTTGATATTCATTTGTAAAATCGATTGTACTTTACATCTTCGTTTGTTGTATTTTTCAAAGTTTCTAGTGAAAATTTGAACAAAAAGTCAAGTATAGGAGTATATGAATATGAAGAACTAACTGCACCACACAAGTATTAAATGAATTATTTCTTTAGTAACAGGCTCTGGGAGAACATTGGTGTGACGGTGGATTTGTGTGGTTAAATAAGGCAGATCTCTACACACTATTAAACGGTGTATCATACCTAGACCCTAGCTGTTATGAGCAATAAAAACTAAAATAGAAAAAAAACAATGTCCTAAATAATGGATTCAAATAAGAAAATAAGATTCATATTATGACAAATGCGTGTGGTCTTGGTTAGGCCGTTAGACGAGAGGTCACTCAGTTGCCCTTGACACAGGGGCTCGTTACGAACCATGTTAATGTGGTTCACAAATAAACAGATAATTTCCTTTATTAATTGTGTGCTTAGCTCAACCAATAATGCCAGTGGATCTTTCTGATTCAATAATACACTGAGTAGACAAATGTATGTAACTTTTCTGTTAAGGGATCCTTCTTAATTGAATGGCTATTAATTGTCACGTTTTTTTAATAAACTTCTCTGTATATAATGTATATATGCGGAAAGCAGCTTAAAAAGACAAAACCTTGCGAAGTTATTAAAGTACAAAAGGCTGAAATACAATGACAAAAACACACGTGAAATAATTTCAGTTATTTTTTAATTAAGATTTAAAAAAAACGTTTGCAATATAGATAAGATCCACTCCCTCCAATCGGAGATTCCTTCAATCTGACGGATTCATTGTTATAATAAGCTTACAAGAGTTGTTCCCCCTGAACTTGGTTTCTGCAAACATATCGTTCATTTATAGTCTCAGCTAACTCACCCATTGACGCCCCAAAGAGTTGTCAAATAAAACATTATATGGGAATTCCGTCCTCGCCTTGTGCAGCATCATAACATTCACGTGATGCAATCTGAAATCAACTGCAATAATAGAGGCGATATATAGTTCATGTGAGGGGCAATATATAGTTCATGTGAGGGGCAATATAGTTCATGTGAAAGGCGATATAGTCAATGTGAGAGGCGATAAAGTCAATGTGAGAGGCGATATGGTTCATGTGAGAGGCGATATAGTTCATGTGAAAGGCGATATAGTCAATGTGAGAGGCGATATAGTCAATGTGAGAGGCGATATAGTTCATGTGAGAGGCGATATAGTCAATGTGAGAGGCGATATAGTTCATGTGAGAGGCGATATAGTCAATGTGAGAGGCGATATAGTCAATGTGAGAGGCGATATAGTCCATGTGAGAGGCGATATAGTCAATGTGAGAGGCGATATAGTCAATGTGAGAGGCGATATAGTCAATGTGAGAGGCGATATAGTCAATGTGAGAGGCGATATAGTCAATGTGAGAGGCGATATAGTCAATGTGAGAGGCGATATAGTCAATGTGAGAGGCGATATAGTCAATGTGAGAGGCGATATAGTCAATGTGAGAGGCGATATAGTCAATGTGAGAGGCGATATAGTCAATGTGAGAGGCGATATAGTCCATGTGAGAGGCGATAAAGTCAATGTGAGAGGCGATATAGTTCATGTGAGAGGCGATATAGTCAATGTGAGAGGCGATATAGTCAATGTGAGAGGCGATATAGTCAATGTGAGAGGCGATATAGTCAATGTGAGAGGCGATATAGTCAATGTGAGAGGCGATATAGTCAATGTGAGAGGCGATATAGTCAATGTGAGAGGCGATATAGTCAATGTGAGAGGCGATATAGTCAATGTGAGAGGCGATATAGTCAATGTGAGAGGCGATATAGTCAATGTGAGAGGCGATATAGTCAATGTGAGAGGCGATATAGTCAATGTGAGAGGCGATATAGTCAATGTGAGAGGCGATATAGTCCATGTGAGAGGCGATATAGTCAATGTGAGAGGCGATATAGTCAATGTGAGAGGCGATATAGTCAATGTGAGAGGCGATATAGTCAATGTGAGAGGCGATATAGTCAATGTGAGAGGCGATATAGTCAATGTGAGAGGCGATATAGTCAATGTGAGAGGCGATATAGTCAATGTGAGAGGCGATATAGTCAATGTGAGAGGCGATATAGTCAATGTGAGAGGCGATATAGTCAATGTGAGAGGCGATATAGTCAATGTGAGAGGCGATATAGTCCATGTGAGAGGCGATATAGTCAATGTGAGAGGCGATATAGTCCATGTGAGAGGCGATATAGTCAATGTGAGAGGCGATATAGTCCATGTGAGAGGCGATATAGTCAATGTGAGAGGCGATATAGTCCATGTGAGAGGCGATATAGTCAATGTGAGAGGCGATATAGTCCATGTGAGAGGCGATATAGTCAATGTGAGAGGCGATATAGTCCATGTGAGAGGCGATATAGTCAATGTGAGAGGCGATATAGTCCATGTGAGAGGCGATATAGTCAATGTGAGAGGCGATATAGTCCATGTGAGAGGCGATAAAGTCAATGTGAGAGGCGATATAGTTCATGTGAGAGGCGATATAGTCAATGTGAGAGGCGATATAGTCCATGTGAGAGGCGATATAGTCAATGTGAGAGGCGATATAGTCAATGTGAGAGGCGATATAGTCAATGTGAGAGGC